ACACACACATATATATGTTGCTGTTAAGTACCATAGAGTCGGTTCCGACTCAGTGATCCTGCACAAGATTTCCGAGACTGCAAGTCTTTACAGGAGCAGAAAGCCTCATCTTTCTCCCGTGGAGCAGCTGGTAATTTCGAACTACCGACCTTGAGGTTAGCAGCCTGATTTGTAACCACTATGCTCCAGAGTGGTTCTTTACATATATATATATATATATGTAAAGCATGAATGTTGCTTTAAAGACTTCATAAGAAGTGAGAAAGAGAGAGACAAGGAGAGAAATGTGGCTTCAACAGCAGGCAAGTTTATTGAGAATAAACCTGGGAGGGGGAACTTCAAAGTCAAGAGAGACAGAGAGCCCACCTGTCCCTTACAGACTGGCATATTTAAGGCAGTGCGGTCCCAGGTACCGTAATGGGAGGATCCGGAAGGGTTTTGGCAGGCTTTTAATGAGTGGAGTTATGGAGATGTTTTGGAAACTACTGGGGGAGGGCCTGTTGGTGTAACAAAGACTTTCAGGGGACCGAAGCTTAAGCAGGACTTTATACAGCTCCATTTTGGGGGCAGCTGTAATGGCATTTTGTTGATCAGGAACAGGGTCCTTCAGAATTGGTTCATGTGATTGTGGCACTGGCAAGTCCCAAATCCATAGGTCAGGAGACAGGTGGGAGACTTCTGTGGGCTTACATCCCACAGAATCCCAAGTAGCTAAAGTGAGTTCTGCCAAAGTAGAACTCAGACGACACTCTACGGAATTCCCCTTGCAAAGGACCGATTGATTGTATCACATTTGATAGTCTGTTCTGGAAGGTAATTTGTATTTTATTGCTTTAGATGACATTATTGAAGGTGATTTACCTCACTGCCTTAGATGACATGCAAGATGATTATATTTCATTTTGCATCCCATGACATTATGGAAGGGATTACATTATAATGAATTAGATGACATGGGAGAACAGCAACTAGTTGAGTGTTTGGCCAAACCCACTGGGAGATGTAGCCTAGCCAAGTTGATACCTTAAAGTAACTCTCACACTAGATTTTTGTTATGTTAATCTCTGGACTTTTTCTTTACTTACGTATATGTTTTTTATTAAGAGGGAAAGAGTAGAGATGGGGTTGGGTTCTGCAGAAGCCTGTCTTAACCATCCCAGCCACACTGGTGTTTTCTGAGCTAAACCTGGTAGCCCACCTCATATAGACCTGCTTGCCAAGGGGTGGACAAAAAGTGCCACAGCCTTGGACCAGACCAGAGGGTGAACTTGACACCAATCCCTTCTTCCTGCTACAGATTGAAGTGAAACTCTCTGTCAAGTTCACCAGCCGGGAGTTCAGCTTGAAGAGAATGCCGTCCCGAAAGCAAACAGGGGTCTTCGGGGTCAAGATTGCTGTGGTCACTAAGTGAGTCCCCTGAGGGCACCTGACCTCTCCCAGAGGGTCATTTCTGTGGTTTTTGCCTGAGAGTCTCCCAGGACTCCCTGGTGCTAAGATTTTCCATTCATTGCTAGGCCACCTCTGGAGGCCCCTGCTTCCTGCTGGCAGTGAACAAGAGGCAGAGTTCTTTCCGCCCTTGGGCTTTGTCAGAATCCTGGACTCTAACCCCTGCCCTTTTGTCCTATATCTGCTGCCAGGAGAGGTCTGTTTGTTGGTTTGAGGGCAGTTCTCAGGGCAACGGGCTGCTTCCTCCCAGAATTCATTCATGTCCCTAGAATGGGTAAACTCTGGCTAGGCCTCTGACCCTGCTGGTCATCTGGACACCACCCCCTCCCTGTCACATCTGCTGTGCTCATGGTAGCTCTGGATGTTCTGTCAGCCGACACCCTGGATGAGTGCCCGAACCAATGGCCAAGTTGATGGAGGGTAGCTTGGAAAAGGTTTTTCGTGCTTTGATGAAACTAACTGCCGCTGAGCACCACCGTCTTATATTTTTGAAGTGTCCTTATTCCCAGGTCCTACGTGGAGCTGGAGCCTCTGGGAGGGGTAAACAGTTAGCACGCCTAGGTAACTAACAGAAAGTTTAGAGGTTTGACTCTACCTAGCAGTGCCTTGGAAGGAAGACCTGGCTATCTCCTTCCAAAACACCGGCCATTGCAAACCCTGAGGAGCACAGTTGTGCTCTGACACATGTGGGTTGTCGTGAGTCCATAAAGCTGCTGTGACTACAGTGTGGAAGAGAACAGCACTGCATCACTGGCACTTGGGCGGCCCTGTGGAGCGAACATTCAGTGTGTGTGGCTTACTTCTCAAGCAGGCCTGGTGAGGTACTGCTTCCCAGGATGCTGTGCAGCACCACTGCCCAAGGCCTGGAGACTTTTAACTGCACTTCCCATGGCCGACTTCACTTAGCAAAGCTTCCTGGTCTTCCTCAAAGAGCACATGTAACCCGCAGGGTGTTGGGCTACATGGAGCTCATGGAACAACCGAAAAAAAAATAAACCCACGAGTGGCTGTGGAGTCGATTCCAACTCATGGTGAACCCATGTATGTCAGAGTAGAACAGTACTCCCTGGGATTTTCCAAGGCTGATTTCTTTCTGAAGTAGATCCCTTTAGGTGGACTCTCAGCAGGCAAGTGTGTTCACTCAGGGACTCCAAGTTCTTGGAAAAAGCCTGATGAAACACCACCCAAACAAAACGATCCCCACTGTGGAGGAATTGATTCTGACTCATAGTGATCCCACAGATCAGAGTAGAACAGCCCCATGGGTTTCCAGGACTATAAATCTTCCCAGAAGGAGACAGCCTTATCTTTCTCCCTCGGAGCAACTGTGGGTTTGGTTAGCAGCCAAGTTCCTTTACCACTTCAGCACCAGGCCTCCTTACTGTGCCGCCAAAACTAAAAACCCACTGCTCTTGAATCAATGCCAACTCATAGTGACTCTCGGATAGAACAGAACTGGCCTATGGGGTTTTCAGTGGCTGATTTTTAGAAGCAGATTGCCAGGTCTTTCTTTTGAGGCACCTCTGGGTGGACTGGGACCTCCAGCCTTTTGACTAGCAGATGAGTATGTTAGCGGGGTGCACCATCCAAGTCCCCCAAAAAGAAACCCACCACTATCCAGTCGATTCTGATTCTGAGGCTGTCAGTCTTTACTCAAGCAAACTGCTTCTTCATCTTTCTCCAAAGGAGTGATTAGTGGGTTTGAACCTCTAGTTAGCAGGCTAACCCAGTGTGCCACTAGGAGTCTTTCTTATGTGATTAAAGCAAATCAACCAAACCCATTGCCATGGAGTGGATTCTGACACACAGTGACCCAATTACACGGATTCCAAGCTGTCAATCTTTATGGGAGCAGACAGCCTCTTATTTCTCTCTTGAGCGGTTGGTGGGTTTGGCCTGCTGACCTTTGGGTTAACAATCCAATGCTTAACCCACGGCACCACCAGGCTCAGGACTTGAGAGGATGGGGCAGGAACAGGAAATATGTGAATGCTCAATGCTACAAGGTCTCCATATGTGTGGGGGTTCCCAGCAGATGGATGGGCTGTGGGGCTGCCAGGCACTAAGGACGTTCCCCCGCCCCACAGGAGAGAGAGGTCCAAGGTGCCGTACATCGTGCGTCAGTGTGTAGAGGAGATTGAGCGCCGGGGCATGGAGGAGGTGGGCATCTACCGCGTGTCTGGAGTGGCCACAGACATCCAGGCACTGAAGGTGGCCTTTGACGTCAGTGAGTGTTGGCCCTGGGTGTGCTCGGGATGGTGAGGGTGGCAGGGGCTGAGCCCACTCCTTCACATCAAGATCCTCAGGTCTCACCCATGACCCTCCTTCAGGGTAGAAGCCCAGGGATCAGGGCCATTCTGACCATCTAGCCCTTAGGGGTGAGCCAGGTGCCTGGCAGAGGGCCAGAGAGCCTGCAGCGTCCTGTTGCCCTGATTCCATCTCACTCCCCTGTCCCCTCATCCCATGAAGTACCTGCAACCTCATGTAGACCCCCACGCCCCAGTGCATCTGAAGAGTTTTTACCCCTGAGCTGAAGCCATCTCCAGGATCCTGGCCTCCTAGACCCCCCACACCACCCACTGTGACCACTTGAGTTCAAAGGGAAGGTGCTGGTTTAGACGCTGAAAGGAAACAGATCCTTGCTGTACCTTCCCTTCACCAGGAGACACCAGGGCTGGGGGATGAAGAGGACCCAGCCCAGGCTCAGAACTGAACCGCCTGGGTCCTCGGGAGGAGAGGGTAAATGCTCAAAGGGGAGCAATGAGAGCATGTTGGCATCCTCCCAGATAACAAGGACGTGTCGGTGATTATGAGCGAGATGGACGTCAACGCCATCGCCGGCACACTGAAGCTGTACTTTCGAGAGCTGCCCGAGCCCCTGTTCACTGACGAGTTCTACCCCAACTTCGCCGAGGGCATTGGTGAGCACCCAGAGCAGCTGCCACAAAATTTCCACAAGGGGGCGGCTTTAACAAACCAATGTCTCCTCTCACAGTTTAGGAGGCTAGGAGCTCAATGCAGAGCACGGACTGTTGGGGAAAGCTTTCCCTTTGTTGGCTCTGGGGAGATTCCTGCCCTTGCAGCATCTGTAGACTCAGTACTCCTTGGAGATCTTTATGCATCTTGTCATCATTGGCCCCCTGGCTCTAGGAGCTTCAAGTGCAAGGACACCGGGTCCAAAGGATACATTCCACTCCCGACTCTTCTTTCTTGGTTCCTCTTTCTCTGCTTGTTTCTCTCTTCTTTTATCTCTTGTAGGATAAAAGGTGCTGTAGTCTGCACCCCTGGGGAACTCCTTTACATGGAATTAGTGCTGTGATGGGATTAAGAGTATCACAGACCACCCTTCCTCTTGTTGGTTTATCACATCAGATCACATCATGGGGAATCATCAGTGAACTATCATATTACTTCATTAAAGAACTTCCAAATTGAGAATCATGACCCAGGCAAGCTGACACATATTTTGGGGACACAATTCAATCTATTACACCCTCCCTCCTGTCTGCTGGGCCTGAGCTGCCACTGTCTGAAAAGCTTCTGGAAGGTTTCTGCCATCCTTACAGGTGGGGTAAGGTGGACAGGTGGTGCCCATGTCCACCTGTGGGCTGGGTGCCTTGCCTGGAAGTTGCAATCCTTCCCAAGGCCAAAACTGAATGCAGCTGCTAGGCCACATGATCCTGCAAGTCACACCTCTGCTCCCCAACCTGCAGGTCAACCCTGCCTGACCCCGAGCCATAACACGGACTTCTTTGCCTTGGGACTGCTCTGCCTCCCAGGGGTTCTCAGGGTGCCCAGAGCAGTGAGGGCAACTGGGGGCAGGACTTCACCTGAGATGGAGGCAGAGATTGTTGCTGGCTGTTGTTGAGTCTCCATATTCTTAGGGACCTCTGTCCTGTGCCATCCCCACGATTGGTTATAGACCTAGTCGTCATCTGGAAAAAAACACAAACCAAACTCATTATGTTTGAGTCATTTCCAACTCTCAAAGCAATCTGATAGGGCAGAGGAGAACTGCCCCACAGGGTTTCCAAGGCTGCAAATCTCGATGAGAGCATCCTGCCTTATCTGTCACCACCAACCTTTTGGTTGGCAGCCCAATGCTTAGCCCACAGTGCCACCAAGGGCTCTTAGTCTTTAAGCTCCAGTAAAGCCTGTCTGCATCCTAGCTGCACACAGTCCTCCGTTTACAGATAGGACTGGTGGTGGCTGTTTCTGAGGTACCCTGTCTGGGGATGGAACCCATATCTCCCACAAGGGAGGTGAGCCCTCATTGCCCCCTGGAGGAGGGGGGAGGAAATGACAGGTCAGCCGGGAGTGCTTTCTCATGGCCTGTCCCCTTCAGTTGGTCCCTGGGGTGCTTTGACCCTTTGAGAAGAAAGAGGAAAAGGGGCTTAAGCTGGCACCCACGCCTATGGTGGGCAGCAGTGTCCAGTGGATGAGGGTGACAACGGTGCTGAGCTACCCAGGCCCTCTGGCACAGCATTAAAATGCTCTCAGGGAGGGCGCAGCCTGTTGGTGTGACCCCGCTCTTGTTTCTGCAGCTCTGTCTGACCCTGTGGCAAAGGAGAGCTGCATGTTGAACCTGCTGCTATCTCTCCCCGAGGCCAACCTACTCACCTTCCTCTTCCTTCTGGATCACCTCAAAAGGTAGTTTGCTGATCTCACCTCCATTCATGAGGGGTCCACCCCTGTTTCTGCTGGTTCCTCATGTGCCAGTCCAAGGCCTTTGTTCCCCAGGCTGGCACCATCACCACCACTGCGCCCTGTGGGCCACAGCGGCGCTGGTACACACACACACACACACACACCACCCCTTCCCGCTCTCGGTGGGCCACAGCAGCGAGGTATGTTATATACACACATACTTCAGTGCTTTTCCTCTTCAGTGCTCAGGTCCACCAAGACCCTGGGATCCTCTTTTACATACACATACACACACACATTCACAAACACCCAGGTACTTTTCCGCTTGAGCCCTTGGGTCCACTAGGACCCCAGGATCCTGTTTTAGCACAGCTAGGGCAGTGGCAGCCCTTTCCTGGATGGCCAGCACAGGCACAATGTACCCCAAAGACACTACAGCATCCCATCCCTTAAGAGGGTCATCAGAGGAAACCAACCCCATCTCGAACTCCCTGCAGGGTGGCAGAAAAGGAGACAGTGAACAAGATGTCACTACATAACCTAGCCACTGTCTTTGGCCCCACACTGCTCCGGCCGTCAGAGAAGGAGAGCAAGCTCCCTGCCACACCCGGCCAGCCCATCTCCATGACCGACAGCTGGTCCTTGGAGGTCATGTCTCAGGTACAGTACACCCAGGTACAGAGAGGGACAGGCGTACCCAGGCTGCACGCTACTGGGCTTCTGGGGATTCGGCCCTGCCCCTCACTTCCTGCTGAGAGGGGGCTCAGTCAGCAGCGGTGATGGACTGCCCCCTTGCCGTTGGCCTCACACCCTGAGCTAGACTTTGGTCCCCAGGCCTGGGCAGCTGGGAATACCTCCCTGAGTACTTTCCCCTTCCCCTGGGCAGGTCCAGGTGTTGCTGTACTTCCTGCAACTGGAGGCTATCCCTGCCCCCGACAGCAAGAGACAGAGCGTCCTCTTCTCCACTGAAGTCTAAGGCCACTGACCTCAGCCAAGCAAGCAGCCGACAGCCACCAGGCCCTGCTCACCTCTTCCAGGCAGCAGGCGTCCCCCGAGGCCTCTGGTAGAACACACTATCTGAGGAGCGGGAACTGAACTTTCTCTGGGTGTCATCTGGCCACCCCCAAGAGCCCGGCCATCTGCCCAGAGACAGAAACTCAAAGCAAAATTTGCCCAGAGGACCTGGGCAGATCTGGACTGACCTTCCAACTGTGGTTCTCCATCTGCCCACCAGAGGGCGACCCAAACCAGTGCGTCTCAGTACAGGCCTGGAGGGGGCCTCCCAGCGTCCCTGGTAGTGGTAGTTTTTTGTAAACTTAATTTATCAGAGTTTAAGATTTCTACTGGACTCCTCATCAAGACACAACCTTCCCGGGGACAGGGGAACATGGTCGGACTCCCTCACTCTTGTGTCTTGATTAAATGCTGCTGCTGCTGCTGCTGCTGCTTCAGAACGTGGGGGCTACAGCCCCATCCCTCATGGGTTGGTGGGGAACCCTGGGTTTTCCTGATTTAGATGCTCAACCATGTCCATGACAGGGTTAGAAAGCTCAGTCAACACTGTAGCGCCTGGCCCCTCTTGGTCTTCCTTTTTTTCTTTCTAGAAGGTTTCTTTGCAGAAATGGCTCTCCCTTGCTGTCCAGTGGCTTGCAGGCAGCTTTGTGTGGATTTGGGTGACATTCTTGGACTGGACACTGGGGGTGGGGGGGAGCAGTGATTGCGCACTTTAGGGTCTGTTTTCCAGGGAGGGTGGACCATGTCCCCGGGGCTGACCGCTCAGCCTATACACACTCTCATTCTCACTTCTCTGACTTCCACAAGCCATCGTGCCCCATCCCACACTCCGCTGACCTTCCCCACTCGGATCTCTCCCTGCCCCTGCTCTCTGCCACACACACAACACACAATACACACAACACAGTCTACTTTTGTAAACATCCCTTCTTGGCAGCTGCTTGCTGACAAGCCTGCTTTAAACTTGGGTCCAACAGCCTTTTTGATACTTGAATATTTTTAAGTTTTATACATAGTGTCTAATTTTTTTCCTAACAGATTCAGATTCCTAATAAGATATTAGAATGTACTCATCCGACAGCCTGTGTCCGGACAGCATTTTCGTCTTCCTCTGAGCGGCAGCTCTTTTGTCAGGAGCTTGTCTCTGAAGCTTCCAGAACATTCCGAACGGGCAGGGTTGGGATCAGGCTACTGCAGGGGTGGGGCATCGTCTGACCATCCTGTCTTAGAGGAAGGTGAATTGGAAAGGCTGCTATGTTTTTTGAAAAAACAAATCCAGAAACAGGTTATTTTAAAAAGAAGGGGTGGGAAACATCCTTGGGCTGCTAACCACAAGGTTGACAGTTCAAACACACCAGATGCTCTGCGAGAGGAAGATGAGGCTATCTTCTCCAGTCAAGATGTACAGTCTTAGAAACCCTACACAGAGTTCTATGAGTCAGAATTGACTTGATTGCAGGCGGGGGGTGTTTGGGGACCAAGTCGGCTGTGCCCTGTCCGTTTCTAGATTCAGTGCCCACATTCTGCCCCACCTGTGTCCCAGCTTCCAACCAGACCCCATGCTGGGCTTTATCTGTCCACCCTGCAGTGCTTGGCCAAGACTACTCCAATGTCTCGTGGTTTGCATCTGTCGCAATGAAACTGGAAAGCAATAGATTGATGTCTGTGCCAACCTCCCTTTCCTCTTGCCCCCACTTGTTTCCACTTTTATTTATAGGGGACGTGTATGTTGGGTGATGGAGTGACCGCTGTCTTGTGTCCCTGTTGAAACAACGCCCTCTGCAGGGCCACCATGCAGACTTGCTTTGGATCTCAGCCACCCCTGTGGTCCTTTTGAACTCATGAGCTTGAGGCTCTGCCGGCCATCTCAGAAAAGCCAGGCTGTGTCCCTTCTGTAGTGGGCAGAACAGAGGAAGGTCTGGGCCTGGACACGGCCTTGGCTGATGACCCTCCATCTCAAAGGGGTGCAACCTGTTGGGTCCTCAGGCAGTCTGGCTTCCGACAGGAGGCACTAGTCTTCTAACAGCTGCATTTCTGCTCCACCTGGCACCACCACTGGAGGAATTGCTGCGTGCTCAGAAGTTAAGAAAATGACAACTTCATTAAAGTTACCAGACTGCTTGGCTCAGTGGTTGTTGCTAAATTTAGAAAGTATTCACATGGCGCTGCAGGGCGTAGCCCCTCAGCTGCTGAATGGGGGTCCAGGCTGCATAGGAAAGGGGTTCTAGAGTCTGGACAGGTGGGTTACCTGCATAGAGACACAATAGCAGTAGTCACCTAGCATGTCTAGCTGGGCCAGAGGTGAGCAGACTGTGACTAATTAGTCTCAGCTTGAGGCCCAATACCCAGGGAGATGTAGATACAGGATATCCCCTGAAGAAGGCCTACCCATTTATGGAGAGCTGCTCTGGGGTGGGGGCAGGCCTTGGAACACAGCTGCTACTGTGAAGGACAGAGCCACAGGGAACCAGTTCACATCCAGGGCAATGAGGCATTTCTGAGGGGTGTCCTCATTGTCTAGCCAGCTATTCAACCCAGGTGAAGTGTACTTAGAGGGCTGCTTCTCTGGAGGCAAGAGTGTAACTCTGGAGGCCTATCCCCAAGCCCCCTGTGTGGGGGAGCCACCTTTGTTGTTTCCCGGGAGGATAGAAGGATGGAGTGCCCTGGGAAAAGGCGGAGACAGAGGGCAGTTGCAGAGCAGGAGGTCCTATGGGAGCACCTCCGCCCTTGGTTTATGAACACTGGGACCTGCCTGCCTTAGATAAGCTGCTGTAAGTCCTGCTGACACTGACGATGCTGAGGAGGACAGGGCTGCCCTTGGCCTGGCCTCTCTTCAGGGCCCCTGAATGGTCAGCTCACTCTCCCTACCTCCCTGGTTCTGTTTGAAAAACTGTTAAACACATACAATGCTTTTGTCTCTTACACACTCAAAGGACACAAATCCCGCTGCTGGTGAGTTAATTCCTACTCACAGTGAACCTATAGGAATGCACAGAACTGTCCCATAGTAGTTCTGAGGCTGTCAATCTCTGCAAGAGCAGAGAGCCTCATCTTTCCCCATGCACACAGCAGCTGGTGAGTTTGAACTACCAACCCTGTGGTTAGCAGCCCAATGCTTAACCCATTGTACTACTGTTGTTAAGTGCCATCAAGTCAGTTCCAACCCATAGTGACCCTGTATAGGGTTTCTGTGGAGTGAACTTTTTTCTCTTCTAAGGGTTTGATGTTTAAGGCAAAAGTTCTGGGACATTCCTGAGTACCATGCGGTGTCTAGCTGAGCCTAGGCCAGTGGTCCTCTCAAGACTGCTCTTGACTCCAAGGTGTTAAGAGACTTGACGCAGTCTTGACCTGGTAAATGGGGAAACCAGCGCTTAAGGTGTCTCATCCCACCTCCATCATTCATGACTGTTAAACAGCAGAGGGTACAGTACGTGTCCTGATGGCAGCCCAGCCTGGCTTCCTTTCTGCCTGCGCTGGACAGGGCCTGCTTGTGTGGCATGTGGACAGGGATATGCCCCCAGTGGCCTTAAAGTGAAACATTTACAGGATTAACATCAGCACCACAACAGCTCTGGGAGCATGAACATGAAGTGTGAGGATGACACTTAGCTCTTGAGTAGGTCCAGGTGGTCAGAGCTTTGCCTCCCACAGGCCAGTAGGGACTACAGCAGAGACAGCTGAAGTCGAAGCCAAAGCACGTGTGTAGGAGGTGGCCCCCATTGTGTCTCTTCAAGGTGTGCACATTGGAGAGACTGCAGCTATGGGGACTTGAGGCTGGGCATTAAGCTAACCAGACCCCGTGAGCCAGGTCTCCCTCTAGCATGGGAGTTGTAGAGTCCTCAGTCATGGCATCCTCTCTGTGGGCAGTACTGGTCAGGGCCAAAGGGAAACCCCACCCCCAGTAGTGTCCAGCCACTTTGCCGACACTGCGGAAGTCCTTGGGTAGTACGAATGATAAACACGGTCAGTACTAACAGAAGGGTTGGAGATTGAAGTCCACCAAGAGGGACCTGGGAAGAAATGTCTGATAAATCGAAAAAATCAGCCATCAAAGACCTATGAAGCCCACTACTGTGCTGACACACATGAGTTCGTAATGAATCTGAGATGATGAGGTATTGTTAAGTACCGTGGAGTCGGTTCTGACTCATAGCAACCCTGTTCAGGGTTTCCAAGGCTGTGAATCTTAACGGGAGCAGAAAGCCTCATCGTTCCCCGCGGAACAGCTGGTAGTTTCAAACTGCTGACCTTGAGGTTAGCAGTCTGATTTGTAACCACTACGCTACCAGGGCTCCTTGATGTAATTATTATCCATCTCTATAACTCCCTGCTATCCTTCTCCATGCCTCCCTAGTATCCACCTCCATACCTCCCTGCTATCCACCTCCATACCTCCCTACTATCCATCTTCATACCTCCCTGCTATACATCTATATACCTCCCTACTATCCATTTCCATACCTTCCTACTATCCATCTTCATACCTCCCTGCTATATACATCTATATACCTCCCTACTATCCATTTCCATACCTTCCTACTATCCATCTTCATACCTCCCTATAATCCATCTCCATACCTCCCTGCTACCCATCTATATACCTCTTTACTATCCACCTATACGGAGTTCTGGTGTGGCACTGTGGGATAATGCACTGGACTGCAAGGTCAGTTTGAACTGCAAGCTCAGTGATTGAAACTCACCAGTCACTTCTCAGAATCTGTAGATTGAGTTGCTATGAAGTTGGCACCAACTCAGCAGCATTTAACAACAATGACAACTATCCATCTATATATACCTCCCTACTATCCATCTCCTCGGAAACCCTATCCAGGGTTGCTATGGGTTGGAACCAACTCGATGGCACTTAACAACAACAACTATCCATCTACATACCTATTAGGAGTCATCATGGTACTGTGGGTTATGAATTGGGTTGCTAACCACAAGGTTGACAATTTG